TATCTAGTAAATATTTTATGTATTTCAGATAATAATAATTTTAAGAAACTTTTTTTTGAACTAAAAGAAATCTGAAATAGCCTTATAAATCATTTTAGAACTAAATTTTCTTTTTTAAGGAAAAAAAATTAAATGTTTCATTGAAGTTGAAGTATATAAGCTGGCTAAAGATTATTGTTTACAAACAAAAAAAATATGGGAGGCGGGGTGGAAGTCCCGTGTCTCATAAAACTAATTTAAGTACGAATGAATACATATAATTGCGTCGCATTATTGTGTAATCGCAAAGAAAACATAAATATTTTTTATATATATAAGTTTTGACGATTTGAACACAACAACATGACGCATTTTCCATGCTATAAAGGACATTATTTATTTAATATTTTCGCGTGGAAAATCTCTGGTAACGTTAAAAAATGTTGTTAAACGACGCATTTAGAATTTCAATTGTCTATATGTATATTTCGCATTTATAATTAGAATCTAAAAAGAAGTTGTCGTCCAATTATTTGTATATATGGCCGATCTCGCTTTTTACGAGCCATAATTTAACGAGATCCCAGGTTCAAGGAGGAAATTATTTTGGAAATTGTTAGTATAATGTTAAAAAGCCTATTTAAAACCTTATTATTACGAGCACATGTAAATTTTAGTGTTTTTTTTTCCCTCAAAGTTTCTTGAAAATTATTTAATTAAAACTGCCTGAAAGAAAATAGTTAACTCTTCCTGAATTTAATTACTTTTGGTAGAATTGGAGCTCTGATTCTCTCATCTTAGAGAAAGAATCTCTATAGCTTCGGGGCTAATGCTCAACATTAGAGGCTCTTATGTTAACCATAAGTCTTTTTGCTAGTTCCTGGCAAAATGTTTTTTAATTAACTTTATTTTTATATGCATCATAGATTTTATTTTTGATAATTTTGACTGACCTAAATTTAACGAGCATATTGCTTTTTTCGTCATGTAAGCGAGTGGGAATATTTCTGTATTGTGATCTGTAACAGAATAATCTCAAAGTTTTTGCAACTAAAAAAAAACATCAAAGAAACGAACTAAGGCAAACAACGTTAAAGAGCACAAAAATATTTATAAAATACTCATTCTATAAATATTATTAATTGCACAGATGAAGGTTGCTCTTTGAGCATCCGAAACAGCTGTCTGTATTTTATAAATATCTTTGTGCTCTTTGACGTTGTTTGCCTTAGTTTGTATTTTAGCACAAAGGTCGCCCATTTGTGTATTTCGCCATAGTATATTTGTGTTGTCGCCAAAGAAACGAGCCAACTAAAAGGGTATAACTTGCAGCCACCCCCGGGCGAACCTCTTCATGTTTTGATTGTTTTTTAAAAATTTTCTCGTTTAAAATCAATTTTTCGTCTTACCGATTGTAGTGGATGTGGCAGATCACAATATTTAAACATCCCCAAACGAGTTACACTGTATACTTTTAAACATACTTTTCTTTCTTTTCAATTTAGCTTTATAATTTTTAACACAAGTTCTTGGATTTTGTATGTTTTGAAAACTATAAAATTATGCTATGATGCTTATGAAATTTAATGTCTGGAACAGAAAACTATATCTTTATTATGAAAGTTCTAAAGCCATCATTGTCTTGTTGCTTGATGTAACTAAAAAGTGACTTCACTGTAGATTCTTCCTTAAAAAAAAAAGAGCCTCTCCATAGTGAATTTTCATCTGAAACAAGACTTTCTAATTGGAACATTAGATAGGATTCAAAATATGCTCCAGATACTGAAATGGCTACCTCAGACATTTATCTTTTCAATTTACCTCATTTTTGAAAAAATTTGGAATTTTTGTTCAACCAATTCATTCTCACACTGATATCGGTTACATAATTCAATTAGATATGCATTATGGAGTTTTATGTAAACTGAAATCACTCATTTTTATTTAAATATTCCTTTATACTGTGTATTACTTCATTTTCAATAAAAAGTCATAATTATATATTTTTTAATACATCTTACAGATTAAAAATTTTGTAAACACTTACTTGAATAACTGCACAAATCTCTGTCTAGGTTTTTTTTAAGAGGTGACTATTTTGTGAAAATGTAAACATAATTTGTGAAATTTAAAAGTTATACTAAAAAATCAACACAAAAATATGGTAAAATAAGAAAATATTTAAGTATTTTTTGAAAATATGTTAAAAGTATATTGTGAAACTACTGTTTTTCCTAAAATTGAATTTGTGAAAGTACCGCTAAACGGCAGTAAATTTGCCCTGGACAGACCCCTACCCATGTAGCAAAATTTTATCTATAACAGCTTTTTTTTATCATTTTATTCTTGAAAGATCCAATGTATTATAACAGCATTAAAAAGGAGGGAAACAATTAAAATATGCTTAATCATCCATTACTTTCCATCAAATTCTACCATACCCACTTACTATTAAAATCATAATAAAAAATATTTATCTCAAATTTATTTTGATCACTACTCTACTAATTGGAAAACTTTATTCCTTTCCAACTAAGCTATAGCATTTTCTTCACTCAAAAAATTAATCCAATTCATTGGAAAAAATGTTTTCCAAAGGAAAAAAATTTTTTTTTCATTGATGAGAATTGAATTTAAAAAAAATGAAAGCAAATCAAAATTTTAAATTGGGAATCGGCACATACATGGATTTAATTGTGTTTCATTAGGGGAAATATAATGATAATCAATGTGATCAGAAGAGTATATTCCATGAAAAATACAACCCTTTTTATATGGGCAATAAGTTTTTTTTCCTAATGTATTGCTCTTATCTAGTGTAATTTTTGGTAGCTTAAGTACTTATCTGAAAACAACACTAAGCTACAGTGTATTTAAATGTTTTATCTCTACACTGTCTTAAGTTCTTCATTTGTATGAAACTAAAACTGTACGAGAAAAATTAAAAGTAACATAAAAAAAAGTGCATTTCAGGGGAAAAGAAGGGAATTTAATAAATTACATCACTGTGAAGAAGAAAATTAAAGTTCATCCCCCCCCAAAAAAGTTATAATTTGTACCCTTATAATAATTAAATTTTTTATGTTAATTATCTAATAAAACATAGTTTGGTATTAATTAGATAGCATGTCAATAGAAACAAGTTAGTTTAAACATTTGTTGTTGTATTAATAATTTTAGTAATGTAAATTTATTAACTAAAATTAATGCTATTGTTGATGATGCATTATTTATTGTAATGTTAATCATTTATTAATTAATACATTATATTTATATTTATTATTTCATTGGTTTTTATCTATAGCCATTTCATGTGTTCGCTTTTAACAAGGAAATACCTTTTTGTTTTATGTGTTATTCAATCAGTGATTGGTCAACAATTGTTGACTATTCCTCTTTCTTTTATCAGTTTTTTTAAGTGATATATTTCCTTATCTGACATAAGGTGATGTGAAAAGGTGTGCTGAATTATTTATCCAATAGTATGCAAGTTTTTTTCCTTCAAGTTTTTCAATCAATCAAATTACAATGAAATTGAAACTAGAATCTGAATTAAGTATTACTAAAGTTTTTTTTTTTTGAGTTGTGTAATTTTTGATAAGGAAAGATAGGTTATCTATCATTTTGTATAAAAGTGAAAAAACACATAATTTCATATTTATTTTTGCTGTTTATATTTTAGGTGATTTGCGTGCTTATTTATTGTCATGATATATTACAAGGTTATCCAGTTAATACATATTTTATTTATCTTGGTTATTAGCTGCTTAGGAGTTAAAGGTAAGTTTTTTTTATTATTAAATCTTTAATTATTTATTAGATTATCATTGATTCTGGTTAAAAAAAAAGAAATTCTTAAAATGGATTTCTGCCATTAGAGTTTTCATTGAAAGATTTTTGATATTTTAAAGTAATATTTGATAATGATATATGAATTTCATTTTATGAAATTCATAGCTGCCAACTCTACTGGATTTTCCAGTAGACTACTGGATTTTGGCAGATTCTCCTGGTCTACTGGTTTAATTAAAATTCTCCTTGTTTTTGTACATTCTAGAAAATTCCCTAAAATTGTGTAGGTNCTCTTTTTAAATTAATTAAAGAAATCTTTTAACTATGTTTGATGAATTAAATGCTGAATTATGAGTAAACGTAATACATAAAATTTTAAGTATGTTTAATGTCAATCATTACTGGAAAATATGGCAGTTTTTCTATTTTGATGACTGTAAAAATCCCTAAAATTCCCTATGTGTAAAATATTTAGTACACTATGCAACAATTACCACGAAATTTATATTATTTTGTAAAATCTACTGGATTTTTTCCTATCCATGTTGGCAGCTATGCTCCTGGTTTTTGTAAATTTTAGAAAATTCCCTAAAAATGAATGAGTTTCCAAAAAAATCCCTATTGAAATAGAATTTTTTTCAGATTATTGTTTGCTTGTTTGAGTATTTAAATAAGTATTACTAATAAATAATGAAGCGAACCTCATTTATAGAAATCAGTTCAAAACTTTTTTTTGTTCTAAAATGTTCAGTTTATTTTAATTCAAAACTCTCTTTTTAAATTAATTTTTTAAAAAAATCTTTTATTTATATTTTAATGAATTAAATGCCTATTAATACTCGAAATTATGAGTAAACATAATATGTAACATTTCAAGTATGTTTAATGACAATCATAACAGGAAAATATTGCAATTTTTCTATTTCGATGACTGTAACAATCCCTATGTGTAAAATATTTAGTATATTATGCAATCATGATTATTTCTCAAAATCTACTTGATATTTTCCTATCCAAGTTGGCAACTATGCATATTTGATAATGAATTCAGCATCCCCCTTTTTCGTGTGCCAACTGGTCTGGCATTCAAAACTCTTTTCGTGGTACGAATTTCAGATGGATAGATGGCCTGGAAGAAGACCTTTTGGTCTTAAAAACTGGAAAACGTTAACAGGAAAAAGGTCGGTCTGGAAAAAACTTCTTGAGAAGACCAAGACCCACCCTGGGCTGTCGAGCCATTGATGATGATGATTTGATAATGAATTTTGTACATACAGGGTTATTCAGAATTCTTTACAGGTACCCTATGTATGACACTTATGCCACACAACCTGTGTAATTGTGATACTGCAATTCTTGCTAATTTCCATTCAACTTGGTGACTATAGAACCATGTTGAAGTGGGGATTCTTTCATATAGAAATTTTTCTTTTGAAAGATTATTCAAATTTGTTAAAAATTACAGGAGGTGTTTGATTTAGTTAAGGCCCTGGTTTAGTATAATACAGCTAGGAAAAATTGCAAAATATTCTTATAAGTTAACTATCATTTAAAACTGTTTTTATGTTGTTCAGTAAAATTGTTTTTCAAGGATAAGATCCAAAACTTGCATCTGGCTAGCAGGACAGATGTTTGTATGATTAAGCCTTGTATCTAAAAAAAGCCACATTTTTGAAATTTTCATTAATACAGTAGACTGAAGTAGAAAATGTAATGTCTCGTATCAAAGTCAACTTAAGAACTGGATATCTTAGTTGATTTTTATAAACAGTGTACAATATTATTTATTTATTTTTAAATTTCCAGTTAAGTTTTACTCAAAATCCATGTCTTTTTAAAGCATTTTTTACTGTAACTTAGATTTAAGAAATTTTTTAAAAAATAGTGGATTAAAAGTTTTATATTTATTTTGACATAAAAAACATTTATTCAATAGCAAGTTCTTTTGAAGAATTTTAATCAGCCAGATAGTTACATGTAGCGGTATGTGTTTACTACTGATCTAAATTATGTATTTTTTAAAACTTTTATCTAAACTATATTGTTACTTATAGGAGAATCAAGTTTGTCACGTGTCTGCTATTTGACTCCTCAAAATCTTCCGCCCAGGAAAGTCAACTCTTCTCTCTGCACTCACATCATTGCTGGTTTTGGTTCAGTGCGAGATGGAGTGATTTACTTGGGAACGGATGCAGACAAGAAAGTGTTTCGGGAAACAACTGATTTGAAAAGCAAAAATCCTAACTTGAAGGTCCTCCTGACCATCGGAGGTGGTGGAAATGATGGTGGCTTTTCTTATGCTTTCAACTCCACACTAAACAGAACAAGGTTTGGATACTTTGTTGTTTAATTTTGTATACCTTGCAACATTCCATTGATTGCCAAACATAAGAGGGTTGCTTGATTGTTGTTACTAGTCAAAATTTGATGCTTGTTCTCATTGGAATCTTTTGTTTATGCCATTGCTGGTATCTGAGTGTTAGTCTAAGTTAGTCAAGCCAAGCCATTAGATCCTGGCTTGCCATTATGGGTGTGACACACCTGATTTGTAACATATTGCAATTCCAAGAGAATAAGAGCGTAATTTATTTAGAACAGTAGATTACATATCCTTTAGATATTTAGAACAGCAAGGTTGAGAGGTCACTAGACAAACACTTCAAGTGGAACATACTAACGAAACAAAGTAGTGGAAAAACATTAGTCATTGGTCCTCAATAACCAGACAAATTACCGAAGTAAGCACTTTTCGAATACAAATCTAGCTTTGTATTTTAGCAGAGATTTCCAGAAAATACTTAATGCTTCAGAATTAAGATTCCAGTGAAATCTCTAACTTAAAAAAGACAAAACGTTAACAGGTAGTCACAACAATTTCTCCCCTGCAAGTTGTCACCCAATCAGTTTACTTCTAGTTCCTATCTGTAGGATATTCCATCAGTTTTACATGGTGGTCGATTATCCAACAGCTATTCCAGACCCCGTCTGTGGAGTTCCAGCATAATTGACGAATTTTCAATTAATGGTATGCTACAATGACAAAAAATAAGAAAAAGTATAGCATACCTGGTAGTGTTTAACCTAGTACCTATTCTGCATAAAATCAATGCCAGTATTTAATGTATAAAAATTTAACCTAAATTATTTAAACTAACTTGAAAATAAAAATTAATCTGAATTCTTATTTATGATGTTTCAGGTGACTTGTCTATCCATCGGCAAATTACGCCGGAACTACTAAAAAATGTAGTCCTGGGGTTGTGGGGAAAAAAGATCTTCGTAAAACAAACATCAAATTTTACCAAGTAACATCCCCTTTAATTCAAGTTACAATGCTTTTAACTTTATTAATTGACAAAATGTTACAATCTTTCAATGCATTATATATAAACTTATTGCTTTGATGCCCACAATTTTAAAATACAGTGTTTTTATGAAGTTACCCTGTTTAGTTAAACCAACATTAATATTTTCTGATAGGACTTAGAATATATATTATATGGACCATGAAAAAAAGAAATATGCAATATAGATAATTTCAGCTACTTTATTGCATGTAAAGATGGCAGCTATTACTTTTTATGTACAAAAAGAAAGTTACTGAAATTATCAGAAATTGAATTTTTCTATTGGATGCTAAATTTATTTTTTAGATATGTAACTCTACTAAGAAACGCTTCATTTGGTTTATTCATGTATATGCTCAGCCATGGGCCAGCACATTGTTCTGATATCAGAGCTCTATTTTTTAACAGCTATAGTGAGAACACCAATAGTTTTTATTTTTATTAGAAGATGTGGACAGTGCTTGAGATGGTATCCTACTCTCCATACATCAACAACACACTCTTGAGAGACTTTTCAGCCACATCAGATTTTGTGTGCCCCTTGCTGTGCATATGCGCCCATTGTCTTGTCTATTACTAAGGCCACACTCATGACCATTGATGGTAGGAGTGACAGCTGAAAACACCATGCTGATGGGTTCATTGTTTGACTGTACTTTCTTTGAATGCTTTACTTATTTTTCAAGTAATATCTGCAACTGAAAGCTTAAATTATTAAATAAGAATCATCCTCAATTTTTATTTTTCTCTATTTTATTTAAGATCATTATCCAGGAATATTTTTAGTTTGCTGAAGTAGTTGATGTATTTACTATTAGTTGAAGAAGAATTTGTTTGGTGTATTTAAAATTGTCCATATGTTATTCCAGTATGATGTAGATATTAAACAATAGAAACTGCTTTAATGATGAATTAAATTTGATAAATAGTAAAGATATTTTATTTCAGGAATATCGAATCATATGGAGCTCCAAAGCAGAAAAATGGTTCATTTTTATGTACATATATATTAATGAATTTAAAAAATGTTCAGGGGATGGAGCTGCAGGGCTAAGTCCCGCAGGACAATTCCATTTACCAAGAAATCAAGAAATTGCAAGTGTCTTGTGTACGTTAGCATAGTTTTCACCAAGGAAAGTTTAAGAATCTATTTATTGGCTATTAATTGATTGAATTTAAGGCCAAGGCTCCTTTTCTTAGCCTTAAGCATTCAAGTGTTTTGGCGGAGAAGAAAGCATGGGAAATTATAGAGAATTATAATGATTTTTGAATTCTACACTAATGTGTTAAGCAGATGGATTCTCTGAAAATAGATTTTATTCTGCACTCAATTCAAGGTTGTGGTCTAAAAAATTTTCAGATTATATTAATAATTTTTATTTATTGAAAAAGGATTAAATAAGATAATAATTTGGTTTTAAATGTTATTGAAATATGTTATGCATATTTCAGCATGACTATCATCTTACACTCAAACAAATTAAATGTAAGACTTATGCTTTACACATATCAGACAGTGTTTTGAAATCCCATTTACTCGAACCAGCAAAATATTTCAGTGTTTTATCACAGACTGATGAAGTTAGTAATTAGATTATTATCATAATTTTTACTCTTGCAAAATTGTGGCATTTAAGCACAACAGTATCTGCTGCTGTTCTGGAGGATTTCTGCTACTGAACTCTTTCTCAATTTAAAATATTTTGAGCCTTAACTTATTTTAAATATAAATTTTTATTTCAATTCTAATGCAAATACTAATCTATGGATCAATGATCGAGAAACAATGATGTAAGATACGATAATTTTGTGGTTAATTATGTTTACCTTTTATTCTATGTTAACCTTTTATTCTATGTTAACCTTTTATTCTACGTTAACCTTTTATTCTATGTTAACCTTTTATTCTAGGTTAACCTTTTATTCTATGTTTACCTTGAATTCTATGTTTACCTTGAAGTATCTTGCATTACTTCCCATCTAACATTTCATTTGTAGTAACCCAATATTTCTTTTTAATATGTGTAAATTATTAAAAGTATTATTTTTTATTATTTCAGATTTATTATTACAACTTTAGTTACTTTGTATAAATACAATTTTGATGGATTGGATATTGATTGGGAGTTTCCAGTTTGGAATGACAACACCAAAGAAGACAAGGAAAATTTCGCTAATTTCTTAAAGGTAATATATTTATTGATAGGTGGATCTGTTATGTAGAATGATAAAATGGATATATAGGTGGAATGAATGGACTGATTGGTGGAATGTTAAAATGGATCTGTTAGTTACAGTTTTTGCTAGGACTTGTAGGTTAGTTAGGACT